GCTGGTCGAGACGGAGGGTGGCCTCGTGGCGGAAAATGACACGGAAGACTATGACGCCGTCGGGAGTGACGTGCGGGAGGAGCTCTACGCCATGGAGGACCTCTATGTGGACGAGGGCGATTGGGAGGGCATCTATAAGGAGGACAAGGACGCCTACTTCCTCGACCGGCGCCGGCCGGGCGCATGGGAAAAGGGGAGACCTGCTCGTGGTGTGACCCAGAAGTTGAAGAAAGGGGTGCAGCAGGGGATCCGCCTCATGGAGAGGTTGAAGAGGGGCGCACAGGTGGGGGAGAAGTTCATGGTCTTGGAGGTGTTTTCGGGGTCATCCATGCTCACCCTGGTGGCCGCCGAGAGTGATGGATGGGGCGCCTACCAGCCGGTGGACGTCATCCTCTCGGACGATGGGGATATGTCGAAGAAGGCCAACCGGGACAAGGTGAAGTCTATGGTCAGGGTGATGAAGCCGGACTTGGTTGTGATCACCCCTCCATGTGGGCCATGGTGCGCTTGGCAACGGACATGCCGCGACTGGGACGCCTTGGACGAGACCCGCAAGGAGCATCTCCCGTTTTGGCGGATGACCCGAGAGATTTGGGACATCCAGACGAGGGGCGGTCGACTGTGCCTCACGGAGCAGCCGGAGGGTTCCGAGGCCTTGGAGACTGAGTATATGAGCACCCGGGATTCGCTGTACCGAGTGACAGTCGACCAGTGCATGTTTGGCCTCAACGATCCCGCATCCCACAAGCTCTACAGGAAGGCCACGAACTTGGATGTGAATGACCAGGCTTTTGCAGTGGGCTTAGCAGGGGCGCCGCGGTGCAACCATAGCCCTTTGGACCACGAGCAAATCAGAGGCCGAATGCAAGTTGGTGGCAAGTGGGAGAGTCGGTCAGCCATTGCAGCTCGGTGGACCCGCTCCTTCGCCAAGTATATCCTCAAGGCGGCTCAGATATGCTTAGCAGGCCGACCCCTACGAGTCGATGACGACCCCCTTCCAGTTGATCGAAGTCCATCACCGGGCAGGGGTGGATGGCCGGTCTACCCTATCGAAGTTGAGGAGGGAGTGCTATCGCCCGAGGAGGTGTTGAAGCGCCAAATGAAGCAGATGGGGGCGGAGGGCGAGCGCTATGACTATGTGGTCTTTGAAGGGGACGCCAGGATGCTACCGCGGAGGACCCGGGCGACACTGGCACACTTGCATGTGGTGCTGGGCCATCTCTCCAATGAACGGCTGCACCGCATGGTGAGCCTCGCTGGCGGGAACGCCGATCTTCTGTGTGGGGTCCGAAACATGCGGTGCCAGATCTGCAGCATGGTCCGGCCACCGGGGAGCAAGCCGCAGGTCTCCTACCTGAAGCCCACCAACTTTAACCAGCGGGTGAGTGGCGATGTCGTGTTCGTCTGGGACGTGAAGAATGTGAAGTACGCGATTGTCCACTACATCGACGAGCTCACCGACTACCATGTGGGGGCGCTGGAGTTCGATCCCACTTCTGAGTGGGCGGCAGAGGTTTTGTGTCGGCTGTGGTATGATGTGTTTGGTCCACCGGATGTTCTCATCACGGATGGGGGGACAGAATTCCAGGGGTCTCTGGGACGGCTCAATGACCTGTTCGCGGTGCAGCACGAGGTCGTGCCCGATCAGGCCAAATGGAGATTAGGCCATGCCGAGAGGCACGGGGCAGTGGTGAAGGTCATGATGATGAAGGTGGTGACCGAGCTGCAGATCGACAACCTCCGCGACATGCAGTGTGCCCTCTCCTCGTGTTTTGCCGCCAAGAATCGGATCATCGGGCAGAGCGGAGTTGCACCTTTGCAGGCGGTGACTGGACGCAGCAATCCCCTTCCGGGATCACTCCTGGCTCAGATCACCAGTGGCAAGGTGAAGTTCAAGGCCAATGAAGATCTCATATTGGATGAGGCCTTGCGACGAGGGGAGAGGATCCGGGCCGCGGCCATTGAGTCGTGTCACTGGTTAGACGCTCATGAAGGTCTTCGGCGTGCCCTGGCTTCGAGGTCGCGACCACCGGCGCTGGAGTTGATCAGGGAAGGAGCCACGGTGTATGTCTACGATCCTCCTGCCAATCGTCGAGGATTGGCGAGGCGACTGCAGGACAACATTTCGTGGTCAGGACCTGCTGTCGTGGTTTGTGTCGAGAGAGATGGCACCACGCCGAAGAAGGTTTGGGTGAGGGTCAGGACACGAGTCAAGGCATACCCACTGGAGAAGATCCGCCTGGCCACTGCGGACGAGATGCTGAGTGCAGACTTCATCGTGGGCGCCTTGAAGGACGTGGAAGGGGAGCTCGCCGGCGGCAAGATGGAGGTGCTGGACTATATCGAGAAGAAGGATGATCCGAGCGGTGAAGTGGAAGGGGAGGACGCCAAGGCGCGAGGGACACCACCCCCCCTACGATTGGATCCGGAGGCCGAGAGAAAGAGGGAGATCAAGCACGACGTGCCAGAGGCTTTGCGAGCTGGTCAGGAGGAAGAACCACACCTCATGCCCTTCAAGAAGAAGCAGAAGCTGTTTGAACAGTTGGCCAAGGACTTGGGGGCTCCGACGGCCATGCAGGAAGCGGCCGTGCGAGAAAGGTTGGAATCGGCCTATGGGCAACTGAAGAAGGTTCGTAAGGAATGGAAGAAAGAGAGCAAGGAGAAGAGCAGGCAGGCTTCGAGGGCTGGAGGAGCTTCTGCATCGGCTCGAGGATCTTCGGTGCCGCCAGGGAAGGACTCCTTGATGGTCGAGCCCATGGTTCCGAGTGAATGGATGGCATTATGGTCGGAGGTGGAGACCCATGCCTTGCTCTGGGAGACCGAAAGCGACGACCATCCTTACCTGAAGAAGATCATCGACATGGCGGAGGGCTATGCGGCAGGGGAGATGAAGGCAGTCCTCGAGGCGGAGTTGGTGACAGGCAAACTGCGGGTGGAGTATCAGTGGCGCAACCTGGACGAGAACTGGCGCCGGGCTTACGAGGAACCGCTGATCAAGGCCGTGCAGGTCTACTTCGACCATGACGCGATCGCCGGCGTGGCCAAGGATGCGATCGTGGACCCGAGGAAGGTCTTAACATCCCGGTTCGTCCTCACCAATAAAGGAGGAGAAACATTGGCCGAGGCAGAACTCAAGGCTAGGTGGATTTTGGGAGGCCACCGCGACGTCGATGCTGGACGATATCCCACTATGGCACCGACGGCGAGTTTGCTGGGACACAACATCCTAAACATGGTGGCCGTGCAGAAGCGATGGGTCGTGCACTATGAGGACGTCTCAGCCGCCTTCCTTCAAGGACAACCTCTACCGGCCGACAGGGAGGTCTACGTGAAGATGCCCAACGACTATCCGGCCTCGGTGAACCAGCACATCCTCTCCAAGGTGGGCGACAACTGCCGAGGAGACCTGCTGAAGCTGCTGAAGGGAGGTTTCGGCTTGTGGGAGTCCCCGCGTCTCTGGTACCTGGAATATAAGGCCACCCTCAAGGAGATTGACCTCCACGAATTGAAGCTCATCCCCGGCATGTTCGTTGCCTTCCACCCTGACGGGCGACTTCGGGCAGCAGTCACCATTCATATAGATGACACCAGGTACGCCGGAAATGAGACAGCAAAGGAGATCTAGAAAGCCCTTCATAAGAGGTTGAAGTTTGGAAAGCATCGAATGGCCACGGAAGGATGGCAGAAGTTCTATGGCCGCTACGAGAAGCAGGACCCGGAGACCTATGAGTTCCTCTACACGATGGAGGAGTACATCACGAAGATTCCGGACATCGAGAAGGGCGAGTGGGATCCTAAGCTTGGGCCGCTGAAGGAAAAGGAAAGGCTGAAGATTGGGTCCATTTTAGGCCAAGTAAACTAGGCAGCGAGGCAGGGGCGATATGATCTGTCCTATGGAGTTTCTCATTGCCAGCAACTGGCCGGAGCTGGCATACGAGAGGCGATGGAATGGACGGCCAAGCTGCTCACCAGGGCGAAGAAGGACGTGGTGGTGCGGGTGCCTCGTCTCGGCTGCGACTTGGAGAATATAGTGGTGATCTCCGCAAGTGACGCGGCCTTTGCCGCCCAGCCTAAGGGCCATTCCCAAGGTAGCCTGACATGCATGGTCGCTCACCCTAATGTCCTTAAGAAGAAGGCCCCGGTTGCCATTTTAGAGGCGCAGAGCATGAAGATCCAGAGGGTAGTCCGCTACAGCATAAGCGCTGAGTTGAGCATGGCTGCAGAGAGTTTTGAGCATAGGGACTTCATCCGGGCTGTGCTCGCCGAGACCATCTTCAAGGATTTTAACATCCGCCGCTAGAAGTGGTTCGCCAACCGCTGGAGGCATTATTTGGTCATTAACGCCAAGACGGGATATAATGTCCTGGCTTCGGAGGCCACGACAAGTGATCGAAAGATTTTAATCGATGCGGCCGTGCTAAGGGAGGCACTCACAGAGGACGGCACGAACAACTATGTCCGTTAGATGCCGGGAAAAGAGATGGTAAGTGACGGCCTCACAAAGTGGGGCGACAATACGGTCCTAATCCGTGTGATGACGGAAGGTCAATGGAGTTTGGTCGACACGGAAGAAGCCCGCCAGCTACTACGAGAGGCTGCAGAGCGCAAAAGGCGCTAGAACGGCCACACGTAAAGACCGTAAGGGATTTGTGTGAAACCATCCCCCTTCACGTGTGACGCGTAGCCACGGGGTTCAAGAGTGAAAACGGCCGCTATCACTTTTTAGTATAATATTATATTTCTATATTTCCCATTCCCCTTTATATTCCTCAATTAAAATACCTAGAGAAAAAAATGAATTATATTTTTCGAATTAAACAAAAAAAAATCACTAAGAATATAAATCGTATTTTTCAAATACCACCCCTTTAAATTTATTATTAAGCGCATAAAAAAATTATAAAATTTTCGATAAGATATTCATAATGGATTAAAAAATTATCGTTTTATACAATAATAATAATCATAATATAATTTTTGAATATATATATATATAATTCTTTTTTTCAATAAATAATTTTTGAAATGGCTGCACCAGATTTGCCAGGCCTTAAACACTTCATATTTTTTATCATTTGGGGAAAATAAATCACAAGAACTTCCATTGATTCCTGGGACCAAAGCCGCGCATCACTTCTGGGAGTTGCATTGCGCTTGGAACGGATCACCTGTCAGGTGCACTTATTGGCCACAGTCATTGCGACAGATCTGGGTCAAAAGATGCTTTCAAAACGTTGGTCGAGTTCTGGCGACCCTGGCCTTACTACTAGGAGCAAGAAGCTACTACGGGCTCCTGGCATCGCTACTAGGAGCAAGGACGCTATACTAGGGCCTCCTGGCCTTACTACTAGGAGCAAGAAGCTACTAGGGCCCCTTTCAAAGATTTCTGTCTTGACCCCCCCCCCAAGTGAACTTTGGGAGCCTCCGTTCGGAGGGATGTGATCTCCGCACGTTGACCTGAGCTAAAACTGTGGTGGAAGCATGGTGGCGGAGGAGCGTTGCTGGGGCACGGACGTAGAATTTCTTCTTCCAGCAAAGTTAAACGTGCACGCCTCAAGACCAGCGGCTAAGAAGAATGCTGCCAAACTCGGGAATGTCCGCGGCACATCATCTAGCACATTCGGCATATCTTCTGTCCAAGATATGAAACCTAGACATCTTGCAAGGACGCCAGCAAAAGGTCTTGGCTCTCCTAGGTCTTGGACGTGTCCTCTCATTTCTAGTGAACCAAAAGAATGTGCTCTTCTAAAAGCATTATCCTTACTTAAGGCTTGCTTCCAAGAGTTCTTGCAAGCTCTGTTTCTCGAATGTGTTCTTTCGTGTTCCAAGACACATCTCTGCTCTGCTGGCAGCAGCCTCGCTGCGGACTTCCTGCGATGCGCTCGTGCATGTGGCGAGCGCTCGTGACGAGCGAAGATCACTTCCAGCGCTGACGGGTCGCATCTTCGACGTGACGAGCCTCTCGTGCATCCTCTTGGCGCTGGCGTTCAGCCTCCTGGCATGAAGTTGATTGGCGAACAGATCAACGGCATGAAATACAGTGTTGTCTTTGCTTGATTGTTTACAGTAGCGATGGCCTCCAACCATACAGTTAATCAAAGCTCCAGAAAAATTGCTGCGAAGATATCGAAGTGCCTTCCACTGTCTGTTGCTATAAGCAAGGATGCTTCTCGGAGGTGTTTGTCTTCGCCTCACCGAGCCCTTCGTCACTTAGTCACGTAACAACATGTATCAACAATACTTCATGCCATTTCATGCCACAAAGCCCTCATCTCCTTTGACCTGTGGTACTCATAGATCAGGGCTGTGCCCGTCACACCAAAGACTACAGCTTCACCTGAGGCGTGCTCAGCTCTGTCTGCCGCTCTGATCCACGGCTCTGATCCACGTTTAAAACGCCCAAATTCGTAGGCCGAAGACCCAACATGGTACATCCGGCCTTGCGCAACTTTGCACTCTAGCAAGTCACTTTGGCCAGAAAAGACAAATCTCACGCCTGCACGGCCTGATCATGAGGGAGGTTCAAACGATCCTCGGAGTCGACTAGCGCCAAGGAAGCTAGTAACAAGAAGCTACTAGGTTGGAGGCCATCGCTATTTGGTTGGAGGCCATCGCTACTACTAGTAACGGGGGCCTTACTACTAGTAACAAGAAGCTAATTACTGTCGCAATAAATAAGCTTAATGATCCTTGGAGTCGACTAGCAAGCCTTAAGCACAGTGCCACTTCTTTGGCTTCGGATTTGAATGATTTGGAGCTCGCAACAAACTCGGACGGGCCCCCCCGACCGTCTGCATCAGCCGCGAAGCGGATACACAGCCGTTCTGCCACAAAAACGCAAAACATGATCGAGTCTACTCAGAGCAATATTGCATGAACCGTAACTTAAATGGCCAAGAGATGAAATGCTTCAACAAACATGGCCTTGTAGTTCTTGAAGTTTGTAATTATTGACTTATGTGCACCATCTCTTCATGATACTAGTAGAGGCCAAGATTGACTCCAAGATTCATATCTATCGTGCTGACCTCTTCAGAATGGCTCACCAAACATCCCAATCCCATGTGTTCCTGAGATTTTGTCAACCATCATCAACCCGTCTTGCCACAAAGTTACAATGTCTTGCCAGAGCTCCTTCTGGAACACGCACCTTTGTTTTGCCAAAAGAACGGCATAGGCAAGCAACGGAAAGTCAAACCCGAAGCACACCAACACTTCGCATGAAAACACAGAAGATGCCATCCAACACATCGCCCAAAACCCTCTGTCAATCTCCTGAAAGCTTTGGCTCCGCTCAGCTGCGGCCATCGCCAACTTGGCGACTGGCCGTGCTGCCTGACGGATGCCTTACACGAGGCACGATACGCAAATTGGACTTCAACAATTTGTAGTAAGAAGATGCTATTAGAAACAATAAGCTACTAGGAACAAGTGCATCGCTTCTAGT